TCACAGTGCAATTATTTAATAAGCAAATGTAAAATAGACCCAGCTTTGAGTGTGGACTGGGAGGAGATGGTGTGTTTGTGTGTGCTTAAAGCACAGTGTTTTGAAAAGCAGCTGAGAGGTCATTAAGGAAGTCTACAGGAACAGGCGAGGTGTAACTGAGAGGTTTCTGTGACGCTTAAGACTCGTTCAGCTGAATGGAAGTATGACTGAGTCCTGATGTATCGTCAAAATCTTCGTCAAAAGAGTTAGTTTTTTACATTTATTATTCATTCATTTATTTATTTATTTATTTTGGTTTTGTTATCGAAGTTTAAAATGAAATAAAAATAAAAAAAGTTCTGAGTTAGTGTAGTAACTCAGGAGCACCAAAATTACCTTTTACCGTGCAGCAGTCGCTCTGCTGTGATGTTTAAATAAAGCGACTTCAGTTTGTGGAATCTTAAGCCTGGGCCTTGAGGTGAAGCTTGAAAGGTCTAGTGGAGAGGATATGAAAACCCCTCCAGAAACCTTACGATTATAATCAGCAGGCAGGCTTTCCCATTGTTCAATAATACTGCAGTCTTGATTTGTAAGCTTTTAAAATTACTTTTTGCAAATATGAAGCTGAGCTTGAGACAAAGACGACAATAAAAATCTCAAACTCATCTCCATAGTTTGGATTATAATATTTCTCGGTTTAAAAAATGAAAGAGGCTTTTACACAATAAGATGAATGAAGCGGAGCCTGTAGAAAGTGGAGGTTGGTGGTAGCAGACGTTTATCCGGCCTACTGCATCATCAACACCACTGCAAAAACTTTGGTTCAACTTCGAAATTCTTAAACCTTTAATATAACTCGGGGGTCTTGCAGCCTCTGGTGGACAAACGTCTGCAGTACTAAGTTTGAGCAGGTTTGTTATCGTGGCTGGTGACTGAAGTGAAAGCTTAACCTGTACAAACAGTAACTAAAACAGAGCAAAGTGCTTCCTTGGCTGGTCCAGCTTACGTACAGTATGACATTGACAGTTCTACAACATCTCAGTTCCGTAACCCAGCACATTACACCAGTAAATATTAAAGGTTTCCACGGACGGGCTATTTTGTTGCAAGAAGAAAACGTAAAACGTGAAAAAGGAGTTAAAGGGAGCCTAGCACAGTTTAACCACTCTGGACTGAAACGGCTACACGGATTCAAATGTCCATAATATAATCCAGGACACCGGTAAGGTTTCCTGCCACTCCCTGTAAATCACAAGCTCGTGCTGTCATTTTACCATCGAGTCCATAGAGGGCAGTCAACCCAAACATCCCCTAGCAGGAACAAAAGGAAAAGAAGCTGTTTCTGTACGGACGCTTTTAAGCTGCGCACCATTAGAAAGAAGCGCCGCATTCTCACATTTTCGCAAGTGTGGCTGCACAGGTGAGTGTTCATGCGATCAATATAAACAGTGTTAACTCCAGGCTTTCGCACCGTGGTGTTACACGATGTGTCCTGTAAGATCATCCTTTCATGTTCTGTCGAACATCACGTCTTCGTCTTGCTAAGCAGGAGTTACTCAAAGAAGAAAGCTTTGAATGGAGCTAGCTAATTTGCTAACATAACATTAGCTGGCGTTAGCATTACTTGTTACTATCCTTGCTCTGTTTACTTGGCGCCAAACGAGATTTGTGGATTTCGTGTACCACGTTATTAAATCTGTGTTATAGCGATACCCGAGCTTTCTGTTGCTTATATGAAAAAGTAAAAATATGAAGAATAAAAAGCCTTAGAAACTAGGCTAACGTAACGCTAACACTGTTCTTACTCTGTTGTGGCATGCGCTCAACTCTGTCTCTATGACAACCAACTGACCAGGACGGGCTCTTTAAAGTGTTAATTGTTTGACAATCTAACTACTTAATGTTGTGGTAGTCTTATCACCAAAGTACGGAAGCGTAGAGCTGCCACCCAGGCAAAAGAAAAATACAAGTGTATCACGTTATAACGTGAAAAGTTTATTGTTCTAACAAGATACTTTTCCTGTTTGTACAATATACCTTTCACGTTTGAACAACATAATATCACGTTATTACAATATACATAGTTATCACGTTCGTACAATATTGTACAAACATGATAGTATATTGTACAAACAGGAAAAGTATCTTGTTAGAACAATAAACTTTTCACGTTATAACGTGATACACTTGTATTTTTCTTTTGCCTGGGTGGCAGCTCTACGCTTCCGTACCAAAGTGTTTTGTTTTATAACATTTATTTAATAGTGACTGTATTGTATGTCGTTAAAACGTCAGTAGAAATATTTGAACCTCTTGCTGGAGCTAATTTTTTTATTTATTTATCTATTGTTTGACATTCTGACATGGAGTGGGATACTCTGAAGGTCTAATACTGCGAAATGCCTGTTTTTAAATGTAAAAGTAGTGGCAGGAAACCGGGCAGGATCACTTTTATAGTGATTAATGAATCATTTGTCTGCTTTTAATACAGATGGCAACTACAAAGGTTCCAGAGGTTCGGGACATCACACGAATCGAGAGAATTGGTATGACTGAGACCCAGAAACACATGATGATTGGTTACTGTGTGATAGTGCTGTGATAGGTGCACGTGGTACCTGATTTTTGAGTTTTTTTACTTCCTGTGACTCACATTATTTTATCTGTTTTCACCTTGTGTTTAGGTGCACATTCTCACATTCGTGGCCTTGGTTTGGATGATGCTTTGGAACCAAGACAGGTAGCGTTAAGTCTTTAAATGCCTTTTTTCTCTCTTTCTTAAGGGGCATGTAATGGATTTGTGACTTAAATATTCTGTGTCTGTGTAGAGGAGACGTGCCTTTTACATGTCTATGTTCAATTCCAGGTGTCTCAGGGGATGGTTGGCCAGCTGGCCTCCCGTCGAGCCGCAGGAGTCATCTTGGAGATGATCAAAGATGGCCACATTGCTGGCAGGGCAGTACTGATTGCTGGCCAGCCTGGCACAGGAAAAACTGCAATTGCTATGGGTAAGATCTCCACTGGAAGCTTCCAGAACACAATATTAGCCCCAGCTAGAAGAGATATTGGTTTCTTGGATTGATGGAATTGGCTTAGGGTACATTTTTGTTGCTCCCAGCTTGATTGGCAGAGTGTGGGTTCAGCTGAGACTTTGTTTTTGATTTTGGGGGTTTTTCCAATGCAGGCATCGCCCAGTCTCTTGGCCCTGATACGCCCTTTACAGCACTGGCTGGTAGTGAGATCTTCTCCCTGGAGATGAGCAAGACTGAGGCACTTAGCCAAGCTTTTAGAAAAGCCATCGGCGTAAGGATCAAGTGAGTGAGCAAATGCTGTAATAGAGTTTGGTAAATCTTCTTATA